TCCTCAGCAGCTTGACACAAGCCCCCCCATCATGATTTTCTTCACTCTCCTCTTTTCTGGAGCATCTGATGCTCCCTCTGCCCTTCCTCACAGAGCCCCAGAATAACGAGCTGCTGCAGAAGAAGCCCTGGAGCGTAAGCAGCAGAACCTCCCCACATCCTGAACGTCTGGTCCCAGGGAGCTCTGAGGAGCTCATGAAGTATGCAGGGGCCGGGTGACCTGAAGTGGGGTTCAGAGGTCCCACTCCCCCTTCCCTTGCAATTTCCTCTTCGAGAACTCGGCTCTCTAGTATCAGGTTCTGTTTGTGATGATATTTAAGCATTCTCCTGCCAGGGTTACAACACAGTCACGCTCCACACCACTGGAACATAGAGGCGCTGGCCACCCCACTGGCCACCCTAACCCTACCCTAGAAAGACTCTCCCAGAGGGCTCAACCAGGTCACTTCTAGGGCCCTACATCCCTGTCGCTGCTACAGAGGCCTCTCCATTTGTCTCGCCCTCCGCGGCCCATCACAGACCATAGCCCTCAGGGCCTCCCCAGATCCTCCCCTCTGCCCTATCATTCCTTCCCCAGTGTGGGCTGAGATTGCTGCCACTGCCGCCTTGTTGGTTTCCACGTCTCCGACCATCCCCTCGTCTACACCCCTCTACAGTGTCAGGTACAGATATGACTGCATCTTCCCAACCCCAGCCCTTCTAAGGCCCCCTTTCTCCACAAGATGAAACCCAAGTTCTGCCCAGGTTCTGCGTAACTTGTTCTGCCTCACAACACTACGCAGCCCTCTCTGGTTAACCTAGGATTGTCCATGGTCTCCGCACAGACATAGATCACTCTTCCAGGCCTTTCCCTACCCTTCTCTCTCTGGCCCTGTGTTCCTGCTTGGCTGGGCTGACTGCCTTGTGTTCCACACCAACTTGCTGTTACTCTTTTGGGGGCCTCCCCATCCTGCCTCCTTGGGAGGTTCTTGAGACTGGGCTGGGCAACCTCCACCTCACTTGCAGCATACAACGCACCAGCTGCTATTGCTCTGTGTCCCCCATTGACTATGTGCTGCTACAGAGAGCAGGACAGGAAGTATCTGCCAAAGCAAATAGTATCGTGTTTAGCACTGCTTGTCACTGTGCAGTGTGCCACCACCTAGCAGCGTCCAGCCCATGAGGAGGCCCTGTGTGACTTCCCACAGGCTGGCAGAGGACACAGAGACTTCCAGGCAGCTGCCAATTCTGCAAACCCTGCAAACCCATCTGTCAGCTAAGTCATCAGGAGCTCGGGTCCCGGAGCTCTTCACCCTTACTTTCCTCTCTCAGCTCTCCAACATAGGCAGCCTGGAAATGCAGCTAAGGACAGGAGCTAAGGAAGCTCTCAAAAGTCAGATGCTCCCATGTACCACGAGGCCTCCTAAGACACAGCCCGTCTCCCAGCAAGGCAGTGGGTCCAGAATTCCAGCTCAGAGGCAGACCAAGGGGTAAGATAGCTGCCGGCTGTGAGCTGAGAAGGTCATACAAGGTCAGCTAAGGGCCTGTAGAAAATGGATTTCACTAGTCCCTCCCTGCTCAGCTGGATTTGGGAATGGCAACATCACGGATAATCACAAACAAGTGTTAAGCCTCCGTGGGTGGGGAGACCGACCTCCCAGAATCCAGAGGAACCCTAGAGGGCAGTGGCCCAGGTAACAGCAGGAGCACGGGTCTCCTGTCCCACCCAGTTGCGTATCTACCTCTGTTAGTGTTTACTGCGGGAGCCTCATCGGCACCCCCATGCCCCCCAGGAGAACAGTGAGACTGGAGAGACCAGGTCACTTAGCCAAGGCTTCTGAGCTCCAGCGTAAATCTGAGAGGCAGCGTGTGGGCAGGAGGAGTTGCACCTGCCATCAGGAGTCAGGTGTGCCCGAAGCTAGAGCTCCCTGCAGACACCCTCCCAGGCGTTTGCCAAAGACGCACTGCTGCCCAAGCTCTGTGCCCAGCCAGGCCGGATGCTGCTTCTGGGCCCCCAGCTGTGTCTTTGCAGACTGCAGTCACCCTGGTGAGCAGCACTTCGTGTTGGGGCTGCACACGCACTGAGCGCACAGGAGCTCCCAAATCCAACCACCTGCTTCTCAAGTTGTTCACCTTCCAGGGAGGACTCTGCGCGCAGACAAACCTGTAAAAGTAATACCGGGCTGCTCGTCACAAGTGCCACAGAGAAAAACAAATCGCAGCCAGGCACAGCTGCCCAGGAGGCTGACATAGGAGCACCACAAGCTTGAGGTCAACCTGGGCAACTCAGAAAGATCACATCTCAAAATAAAATTCGATTTGTAGCTCAGTGAAAAAATGCTTGCCTCGCCCATGTGAGCCTCTCGGTTCAATTCCCAGTGCCTCCCCCAAAAGGATAAAAAATTAAAACAAAAGGAAAATAAATAGGAAAAAGCAACAGGGAGGGCTGGAGTGGGCACTTCGCCCCTCAGGTTGCGGCAGGGGGAGCCGGGCTCTCACAGTAGCAGAGCAGGCTGGGGAGATTCCGGGATAAACTCATGGTTGAGAGCAAGGATTTTCTCTCTGCAAATGATGGGAGTCACCAGACTTTTGAGGAGCAAGGGGTGTCCTGAAGGGACTCGGTGTAGTAGTGCCACTCTTACACCAGGAAAGTGGCCCTGCAGTCACCAGTGGGAAAGGCTGGACACTTAGACCAGGAGCCAGGGGAGCCATGGGAGGAGAGGCCCAATCTTGGCTAGCTTTGCTGGTGTGGGGTATCAGAGACGAGAAGCCGAGGATGGCTAGAGACTGTGGCTGGAGTCCTGCAAGGAGGGGTATGACCCCTGCTAAGAGCAGTGTCCATGGCCATGGATAACTCTCCAGAGAGATCCTGTTGTTTGCTCACCAGAAAATGTCAAGTCCTAGGTCATCTCTGGGGTCACCTGGGGTATGCAGGGCTCCCACAGAAGCAGAGGTCAGCCAGAGCTTACTGCAGGCTCCCAGGTGGCTTTGGCCAGGACAGATGCACTGTTTTCTGTCCCCAGTAGCCTTAGGATCTGGGACACCAGCTTTGTATGCTGGGGATTGTGCCTCTGGGAACTGTATCTTCTCTCAGCCTTGCAGAACAGGCTGTAACCAGGTGGGCTTGGAAGATCTACAGGGCCCGGTGTTCTTGCTTCCACCCACCCGGCAAAACTCACCTCATCTTACATGAGAGGATGCCTGGCGACAACAGAAGCCAGCTCCTGCTGCCACAGGTAGACCAAGGGCCCACCTGGCAAGAGCCACCCAGGGCCAGGGGCCCCAGGCCACATCCGCAAAATGCTGAGAGAATGCTGGGTTCACATCACACTCAATCTTGGCAAGCAGTTATCTCTCCTGCAAATCCTGCCAGAGCATTTATGTTCTGTGCCTTCCAGTGACCAGCTCAGTGCTCTGCAGCCACAGCTGAAGTGGCTGAGATGCACTGGCGATGAGCTGCGTGCCTCAGGTGAAAGCTGAGTGGCCTCTGGTGTCTGACACGCCTCGCTGAAGCCATCCGCAGTCAAGGGACGGTTTCAGCTGGAGCCAGTGTCTGTGTTGGTGCCCACAGATACCTTAAAGGCAGGCACCACCCCAGTGCGACCTCCTGGGTGGTCGCCCCTCGCATCCAGCTCAAATCCAGGTGGGTTTTCCTTGCCGCATTTTATCCACTTTTGTTGCCCGCAGTCCGCCTCTCCAATGCTTCTCTTTCAGGCCCCTGGTAACTTCCATTCTCTCCCCTTTCTGGGGTTTAGTGTAATTAACGGCCACTTAGCTTTCTGTGGTTTCAAGATTGCTGAGCTGCTTGTTGTTTATCCATCCACTTTCTGGTTTCCAGAACTCTCTGGCTTCTCTTGTCACATCCTCGGGTTCCCTTTGTCCTCAGCAGTGTAGGCGATTTTTACTCCTTTCCAGTCCTTTTCTTTTAAGTAAGTGAATTTTTGATGGAAGACAATATTGGCTGTGCTCAGTTCTCTGTGTCTTAACAGAATCCCCTTCTTGCCCTTTGTGAGGTTTTGATTGCTGTGTTGATCCACCCACCCATTCACTGCACATGCATCAGGCATGTGGCACGAGCCAGGCCCCGTAAAATAGGGGCACAGGAGAAAGTAGTCTCAGTGTCACAAGCCAAGGGGAGGGCAGAGGCAGACAGGATGGTGAGCACCGTGAAACGGGCCAGGGAGCACTCAGGGCTCCATTCAGTGCTGCCAGGAAAGATCTAACCACCTCTCTGTCACCTGAGGAAACTGAGGACCGCAGCCAGCCAGGCTAGGGCCCTCTCTAGTTACCCCTGAGCTCTGTCTCCACCTCCCCTCGCTTCTCCTTACTGCCTCCTTGGACTCTGTCCTCACAGCAGCAGGGCCTACATTTGCTGAGATCAGACTTGGAGCAGACTCTGTCACCAAGGGCTTGCTGAGAGGAGCTCCTGGGATCAGCAGCCTCAGCCTGGTCCTGCCCTTACTGGGCTCGGGGTCCTGCTTCCTCTACCCCACCCTTCCTGGCCTCACCCTTCCAAGTCCCTCAGCTTGCTCCTCTCCCTCTTCCCTCCCACTTTCTTTCCCAGCAGCCCAAAGCAGCCTCCCTTTTCCTTTGCAAAGGGAAAAAAAAGCATCTGTAGGCGAGGAAGCCAGTTCCTGCAGACAGCCTAGGCAAAATGCCTAGGCCTCCTGTCACATTTGATTTTGAAAGATAATTCTATTTTGAGCAAAAAGAATAATGAAAAGACATCCTCCGCTGTCCCGGGAAGAACTCGCTTTGCCTTTCTCCTCAGCCCGCATGCCCTGGCCCACGGGGCATTTCTGCAACCCGGTGCTTGGGCTGGCACAGTGGCCCTGGTCTCTGTCTTTCCCCGGTGACATCAGCAGTGCCCACCTGGAGCAGGTTCTCTGCTTCCCCCGGGTGGAGCTCCCTCTGACCCCTCACTCCCTGGGAGATCTCGAGGCTGCCTCCATCCTTGGGATCTGCTACAGCCCCTTCCTGAAGGCCCTCTTGCTCCTCTCTTCTCATTACAGCTCCGGTGCCCTGGCATGCTGCAAGGTCCTGCCAGCTCGGAGGCTGGCACCTGGGCAATGCCCAGCAGTGGGAGCCGAGAGATAAGCCTGTGAGTGGACTGCTTTGCGCCAGGCCAGCAACTGGGAGGAAGGCAGAAATCCTCCTTGGTGGGTTACTTGAGGACAGAAGTGACACCGCTAGTGGTGGGTGCAGGCTAGGAGCCACTCTCTGTGCTCTGCTGGCAGTTTTCCTGGCAACCAAGAGGGGCAGGGAGACTGCAACACTCCCGCAGCTTAGTGAGGGCTCAGGAACTCGAGACCACTGAGCCCTAGTGCCAGCTGGGCTGCTAAGCCTGAACCTGCCAGAGAAAGGGAAACCTTTGCCTTTGGGGTTCATGGAAGGGGCCCCAGTGGAAGGCCCTTGACAGCTGAGAGGCCTTTATGTGACGCCCTCTGGGATATCTTCCCGCGAGTGAGGCCGGGGTCCCTGCCCAGCAGAGCCCAATGAGAGCTTTCCACCACCTGCTCATCTCTCCCCCAGGACACTACCCTGAGCCTCCATATGCAGAGATCAGCAGGGAGAACGCTGGACAAGCCTGGAGCACAGGAGAGAGGGACCAGCGGGGAGCCAGAGAAGCAGGAGTGATAACATAAACATTGAAATTGAGAAGAGGAAAAAGTAAGGAGAACTGTTGGATATGTTAAGTGGGTTACATTCCTCAATTTAACACTGAGGACTGGATGTACTTTTTTTGTTTTTGTTTTTGTTTTTGTTCTGTTTTGTTTTTTGAGACAGGGTCTCACTATGCAGTTGAGACTGACCTGGAACTCACTGTGTAGCCCAGGCTGGTCTCGAACTCACAGCGATCCTCCTGTCTCACAGCCTCCCAAGTGCTGGCATTACAGGCGTGCCCCACCAAGCCCGGCTCTGAATGCACTTTTTCTTGGTACCGGGGATCAAACTCAGGTCCTTGCACTTGCGAGGCAGGCCACCGAATCACTGAGCTAAATCCTGAATGCACGTTTTAAATTGATAGATTGAGCCGGGTGTGGTGGCACTTGTCTGTAATCCCAGCACTGGGGAGGCTGAGGCAGGGGGATTACTATGAGTTCGAGACCTGCCTGGGCTACACAGTGAGTTCCAGGTCAGTCTCAACTAACTACATAGTGAGACCCTGTCTCAAAAAACAAAACAAAACAAAACAAAATTGATAGATTGAGACTAGAGGCTTCCTTGATTCTATATTTATTATCAATTTATTTATAAAAATAAGTTAATGGATGCACAGAGGGGCTGGGTTACTGCACAGAATGTGCAGTTTATTAGGGGACTGGGTTACTATGTAGAATATATGACTTTCAGTGTTACTGAATTCTAAGACTAAAATTATTTTGTAAAGGATTTAGAAGGATTGACAACTCTTACTTCGAGTTGAAAGACAACTTCCAGAAAAGCAAGTTTAAATGATTGAAGGTGTTGACAGACTTGAAGGTTGGTTTTGAAAATGGTTAGGTGAAGTTTGCTTATTTTCTATTCCTTAGACTTTTGTTTTTGGTTTTGTTTTTCCTTGATGTCATGTTAGAGTGAGAACAGCATGTCGTCAGCCATTCTAATCCATTTTCTGGTAATTTCAGCTCTGGAGCTCAGGAACAGTAAATGCTCTGTGCCCAACAAGTCTTCTGTGCCACACGTCATTTTCATACTGAGTGTTTGATAAACACGGGGACACTTTACAGGCCCAGTGTGTGATGCAGACCTCAAAGTATGAACTCATACCGGAAGTACACTTACAATTATGTTGAAAAGGATAAAATGAGGAACCACCAAGCATACCTAAATTTTTTAAAGTGGAAAAATTATCCCGTTGTTAACACTGGTTGTCTTTGTCCTAGGGACTATGGGAATTTAAAAATTCTTCTTTCTGGTTCTCTGTCTTTTGGATTTTCATTAACGGGAAAGTGAAGAGTATTTTTTTAATGAAGAATACAGCACCTTGGGGAGAAGAAAATGCTGAGCTATGAATTTGCAGCAGGGATGAAGGCATAATTTAGCGCGGTGGCCTTTGTCTTGCTCATGAGAAGACACAGCTGGCTGACTCTGTCTATCCTCTTGCTGTCAATAGAATTAAGACGATGCTGAGAGCGCTTGAGTCCCCACTGTTTGAGTCACAGTCCAGATGACCCCCAGCGGTTCTAATAACCCCGTATTCTGTGCAATACACATCTCGAGGACAGAACTCGTCCCATCATAGGAATGAGCACAGCAGGGGAACAGGAGGGCTGACAGGAAAGCCCACTGCACCCAAGCAGCCCATGCCCCTCCCCAGCCTCCCCCAGCTCACCGTCCCTGCAGCCAGAGCCAAAGCTGCTCCATCTCTCCCTTCCCTCCAGAGCTTGCTGCCCTGAGGAGGTGGTGAGTCAAATCTGCCACTGGCTGCGTGTATTCGCTGAAGCTAAACAACTCCATATGGCAAATGCCGCCTTCAAAACTGCCAACAAGATGCTGTTAATCTATCACCCGGTACCCACCCCATAAAGGGATTTCAATGTATTTCACACAAAATAATTTAAACCTTGATTTCCCATTGTTCCTGGCTCATCTCAGCCAAATAAAATTATGTAAAACGGGGGGAGAGGAAGCTGCTTCCTGTGAGGAGGGAGGGGCTGCTGAGGTGTGCTGCCAACACCTGCTTCAGGCGCTAGCTCTGCACACACCTCATTTAATGCCGCAAAATACAGATGGGCGGAAAGGCAAGCGTGGGGTATGAGGCTTCTTGTTCAACGTGTAACGCACTTTTCGTTCTATTTTCAATACTGTTGAATATGACGCAGTGTGCGTGTGCACTGTAAGTGAGCAGTTAAATATATTTAGTTTGTAAATAAGACATTCACAAAAGTGATCATCTTTATTCATGTGTGGTGAAACCTTGGAATCTGTAATGACTCATTGACAAATTAATTGCCATAAAGGCAAAAGAAATTTTAAGGCTCTCAATGAAATTGTGTTCTGACTTTCAAGTAACAAAATTAGAGTTTAAAGGGTTTTTTAAGATGAGAGACTCTGATGGGACCATCTGGAGGTAGCGTGAACTTAAATTTCCCGGTGCATCCCTGGCAAGTGGCATGCAGGTCAGAACCAGACCTTACAAGGGATAGTACAGCATATAGCCAAGGACTACATAAATAGTCCCACTCTGTAACAGTCCATTTTCTGTTTCCACACTGAAATGCCAGAGACTGAAAAAGTAAAAAGAAAAGAACTTTGCGAAGTTCAAAGCTTTGGAGGCTGAGTGTCCAAGGTTGGGTGACCCCTTCATTCAGCAACTGTGAAGACCTAACAGTGGACGGTGTCACGGGAGGGTCACAGGCCAGACAGGAAGCCACGGTGAGGGGCAGGCCAAGCAGACCTGCATAACAGCCTCTCATGAGCACTAACTTGATGTCCTTGAGAATTTACCTTAACCTTAGGGCCCCTGCGACCTAAACAGCTCCTGCTAATTGGCCCCTGCTACAGGTGCCTCTAGCCCTCAGCGTCCTCTACCACTCTGGGACCATGCGACCAGCATGAAGCCTTGGAGGGCAGACCACACCCAAGCCATAGCACAAGTGAAGCAAAACAAAGCAATCCCTGTTGAATAATTAACAAGCAAAACAAAGATTTGCCGGACACTGTACTTAAAGCAACAAAGGGGAACAATCCTAAAAGATGGAAGATGAGGTGAACCCAAAAATCATTTCCTCAGAGAGTTCCAGCAAAGACACAGGGAGGAAAATTCAGGAGGGGCCTGGTTGACTCCCCCAGTTAAAACAATGGAGTTGAATGTCCGTGATGACCAGGACCTCACACTACACAGTGGCACACTGAGCAGGAGAGAGATGCTTAGAAAGAAAAACTTTTCCCCCTTTTTTAAATTTTGAGACAAGTTCCCACTAAGTCACTGCATTGTCCAGGCCAACCTCAAATTCACAGTCCTCCTGCCTCAGCCTCCCACAGTGCTGAGATTATAAAACTGTGCAGCCATGCCCTGACAGAAAGAAATCATGGTAACTTCAAAGGAACCTCTCAAGTCTCCAGCTGAGAACTGATCCGTGGACACTTCCAAGCAAATTACTCAGGACCAGAAAAAAGAACCATTCCAAAAGATTGGAGGCAGCAGTTCCTGACACCCAAATAAGGCTGGGAATAGTGCTGTTCCCACCAACCAAAGCAAGACCCTTAGCAATAGAGAATGCAAGACTTAGAATGAGCAGTGCACCTAAAAAAATGTTCAAAGATGACCAAAAGGATTAAACTACTTCCAAGTTTATATATAACTGGGTTTCAAAACAAAGCTCTAGAATATTTATATGAGTACAGAAACATCTAGCACTCAAAAATGTAAAGCCCACAATGTTCAGCATCAACCAAATATCAGCAGATATGTAAAGAAGAAAAGAGAGCTGACAATAAAGAAACCAGTCAGCTGATCAAAACTGACCCACTAGTGTCATCGACGTTGGAATGAGCAGAAAAGAAAACGCCAACCAGAGCCAGCACTACGCTCAGCATGAGGGTCATCTGGGATCCCTCCCAATTTCTGGAGACATGGTCTTCTGCAAGTATAGTTAAGACCATACTCAACTAGGATATTAAGTATATTATAAAACTTAAGCACAAACATAATGAAGTAAAACCAAAACGTAGATAATATAAAGTCTTTTCTCCCCATACTAGGAACCAAAGCCTTTGTACTGAGTTGCACCCCCAGCCCTTTTTAAAATTTTAAGACAGGGTCTCACTAAATTGCTAAGACAGGGCTCAAACTTGCAGTGCTCTGCCCTATTCTCCAAGTTTGAGATTACAAGCCTGTGCCACTACACTCAGCAACATAAGGTCATTTTTTAAATATATTTAATTAATATCCATAAAGGCATGGAAAGAGGAAAAAGAGATCAAAATGGATGGAGTTATCAGAAAATAAGTAGCAAGTTCATAGATTTAAGCTTAACAATGTAGATAATCACAATAAACATAAATCACCTAAGTACCCCAGTTGCATGTATGACACCATCAGGACAAAGACAGAACAGTACGCGGTTGTGCACTGGTCATAAGAAGCACATGACAAGAGGAGACATGAGTTAAACATACAAGACGGGAGAAAAGATGTGCCATGCCAAAGACAATAAGCCAGAGAAAGCGCTAATGTGTACATTAACATCAGAAAAAAGAGGCTTAAGGCCAAAAAAGAAAACTTTACCACAGGCTAAGCTTACTTAATAATAGCAAAGTGGTCATTTCACCACAACAATATAAATATCCACTCATTCAGCGGCTGACCATGGCTATGGATCCTTAGGAAAAAAACTGGTAAAATCTATAAGAGCTCAGCTAGAGTTTTAAATTTCTTAGTGAGATTTGTTCTTCAACTTGTCTCTTATCTTCTTACAGCTAAAGCTAGAGAGACTTATGACAAATTATCAGACTTACAGATAACCTTTATCAATGAAAAAATACAAGAGCCAACAGGTTTCAACCGCTCACTATTTCGGTATCTAAGTGTGACTTTCTCCCCGACCTGCCCTTCCATCCTAGCGTGCTCATGCTTAGAGTTTTCATGCTCTGATTTCTGTAAAAATCTTGTTTATTCTTACTTACCTATAGGCTGCCAAATTCAAAGTGCCCCTATTCCAGAATAACAAGAGCCTGGAATGATAGAGTTGTCTACCAGACAAAATGGCCTCAACAGTCCTACATTCTAAAATGGCTCCAGCTCCTAAAATGGTTCCGGCTTATGGAAATGAGCCACTTCAGAAAAGTGAAACCTACCCCCTCTGGAGAAGCAAACCCTAACTTGTTGCTCCACCCTGCTACCCACTGATCCTCCCCTTCCAGTCACCCGGCATCCTGTTCTTCAGCTCTCTTGATACTTTCCCCACTGCACTGCCCTATATAAATCTCACCCCAATTAGTCTCACCCTCTCACACCATTATTTGAGGAAGACCGGCAGCTCTTTCCCCTGATAAAGCCTTGCCTCCTTGGTGAAATAAATAAATAAAGACTCACTTATTCCCCTCAAGGAATTTCAAATCAAAAGAGTAAAAAATGATAGAACTACAAGGAGTAGAAGATTAATCCACAATTACAATTAGAAATTTCAAAACTCAACCTCAAACATTGATAGAATAAGTAGACAGAAAATCAGTGAGAATAAACATTTTAACCACAGTATCAACCAATCTGACCCAGAAGATATTTACAGACCACTCCACAAAACAAAAGCAAAACACATATTCTTTTCAAGTATACTCAGAACATTTACTTAAATAAACAACATTTTGGACCATAAAACAATCTACAAATTTGAAAGATGCAAGGAATATAAAGTCTATTCTCTGACAAGAATGTTAGTTAGAAATGCCTGTCATGGTGGTGCATGTCTGTAACCCCAGCACTCCAGAGGCTGAGGCAGGAAGATCGCTGTGAGTTTGAGACCAGCCTGAACTACATAGTGAGTTCCAGGTCAGTCTCAATTACATAGTGAGACCCTGTCTCAAAAAAAAACATTAACAGAAAGATACCTAAAAAGTCCTCAAACATCTGGAAACTAAATAACAAACTTCTTTTTTTAAAAAAAGTTCTATTTCTATTTTTTATTCTTTATCTTATTATCTCTTTTTCCTTCCCTCCCTCCCATCTTAAATAACAAACTTCTAAATAACACACAAAATAAAGAAGAAAGAAAAGACTAAACTATAAATTATTCTGAACTGAATAAATGTAAAAACATAAATTATCATAATTTGTTGGATGTCATTAAAATAGTAAAAAGAGAAAATTTAT